CGGCCACGCAGCGGGGACATCGGACCTGGAGCGTCACGAGGCCCCGTCATGAGGGTCACTGCCTGCAACGCCTTCACCCTGGGGACATCAGGGGCTGCGGTGCGGGTTGTGCCGTGGGTTCCTCTCTGGAAAGCGCCAGTGCTGGCAGACACAGTACCCAGGAGGGGAGCAGGGCAATCCCACTTCCCAGTGGCACCGGTCACAAGGCCGGCAGGCAGGAAGCCGAGCTCCTGGGCACAGGGGACAGAGGCAAGAGCTCACCCCTGCCAGCACGCCTGCTCCCGTTCTTTCCCCTCCAAGGACCCAGAAAGGGCATTTACAACCCATGACAAAATACCCAACCATTCCTGCAAGGGGTCCCGACCCAGGGCAGCACTTGGAGCCCCTCCACATCCCCTGGAGCAGGGCAGTTTGGCAAGCCAGCACCCACAGTGGATCCTTTCATCCCCAAGCTCCTCGCTGCCAAGACGCGAGGCTGGGAGAGCCACCAAGCCAGCAGAGCAGCATTTCTCCCCTGCCGCAGGCTCCTCAACGTGCCAGGACATCATTCCCCACAGCTCCTCTCCTGCCGCCCTGAGAATGGAGCCCGGACACACCGCCGCGCCACAGAACAGAGCTAACGAAGCTGCCTCATTTTCCCAAAGGAGCCCAGCAAAGCGATGCCACAGGCTGATGAACTTATCTCCGTACGGGCACTAATTTCAGCACAAAGCCCGGGCGTGGGAGGGCTGCGGGCAGGAGATCACCGCTGCAGCCTGCTTGTCCTCCGCAGCTTTCACGGGCAGGCTCAGAGCCGCGGTGGGGAGGTCGGTTTGATGGCAGCTGAAGCCAAAACACACTCATCTCCTCCCCGAAGAGCTGGTAAACGCAAAACCAAGAGCTCGAGTTGCTCCCGCTCTGGAGCCCGAGGCCACGAGCATCTCTGCAAGCAGGAGATCCTGAAAACACACCGAGCGCTGCCCACGGGATTAATGCCACACGTGGATCTCCCAAAACACGCGCACGAAGCGCGGGCAGAGCCCGTTACACAACCAAATGCTGTCTCCACCTCTGCTCAGCCGTCCTTTGAAGCAGCACCTCCCGAGCCTGGGCTTGCTAATCTGCCCTTGCTGGGAGGCAGAAGCCTGTATTTCTTCCTCCTAACAGCCCCCAGATGTTTTTCTCCTTTTGATCAGCCACATTTGCACAACTCGTGACAAGCAGGACTGCGCCAGCATCGCCAAGAGCCGACCACGGCCAGCAGCACCTCCTCTTTTGCCAAAAATCACAAGGCAAGAACCCAGTTTCTCTGGGTTTATCATGAAATCCTCTGTGGCAGGGCTAGGAGGAGAGGCAGCACCGAGATCCACACCCTTTGCAAAATCAAAAAACACAGGTACTGGGTAAATACTGTTTGCCAGTGTAGCGTGGCTACAGAAGGACCATGCTCCAGGAACCGTGCTGACTCACCTGCAAGAGCTTCTGGAGAAGAGATAAGCCACGAGAAGTGGCTGTGAAACTTTTCATCAGAAACTTGGGAGCCCCAAGAAAAGCTGTGTAGTGCCAGGGCTGCACGCAATCACCCATAACTCCCTACAGCCATCAGGAGCACGGAGAAGGGAGATGGCTTTTGAGGAAAACCCTGCCCCAGAGTGTTTCTCAAGCCCACACGGGAGACAGTGATCAGTGCCCTGGGGAAACCGGTCTGAGGTCAGGGAGGGTCCCCACGACAGTGTACAAGAATACAACCCCTTCCCTGCACGCACCCACGGGGAATGCTGTCAGCAGCTTGCTTGGACTAAGAGGCGACATGGCCATAACCAGCTCCTGTCCTTCAGCCAGGTCAGCTCTCGCCACCACCATGTCCCGAGGTCTCTCCTACCTCCCTCTGCCACTCCACAGGTCGCATTTCTGATCTGTCCCTGAAATGAGATATTTGGAGGCTGGCCGAGTCGGTCGAGAGGGTCTTTGACAGCTCCACATGAGTGATAGCATCTCGTGCAAGGTCTCCTGCGTGTCCATCTGCTCTTTGGAGGGCCAGAGACTGCTCGGTTACAACAAGAGGAGACAACTCTGTCAGCAGGGAGAGATTCAGCACAAGGATGAACGGATCTATGATACTTAAGACTTTAACATCACCTCCACAAACATCTGAGAACCATCAGCCACAGCTAAGCTGCCGGCAGAGCAAGCTCCAGCCCACCAGGGACCAGCATTTGATCACTTGGACAAAGAAAAAAAGGCAGAATCCTCCACGCAGATGTTTCTTCCTCCCTCAGTTTACCCTCAAGATTTGCAAATCACTCGCAGAGAAGCCTCTTGGCAACGCAAGGCGAGCCTCTGCCGTGTGTTCACCCAGCGACCGCATCCCTGTCCGGGGGACCCTCAGCTCCGAAGACCCAACTCACGCAAGCATGGCACAGCCTTAAACCTCCAGCTGAGTCACGGAGCAGCACTGCAGCCCCGGCGGGGTGAAGCCAGCCTCCGTCACACTTCGGAAGCCCTGAAAATTAGCAGGATGCAAGGGGTTTAAATTCAGGTAATTTTATCAGACCGGCTCAAACCAAGGAGCCCGTCCTTAGCTCCTTCCAGGCTAACAGAACGCCTTG